AGTACGACCTTATGGTCGGACATTCTTTTGTTTATGTTAAACGATTCACAGTCAGTTGACATTTAATTTATTATCCTCGGGCGGTGGAACTTTAATCATTATTAGAAGCATATATTTATTGTAAAAATACTCTATTTTAACTTTTTTTTTTAGCCGATATTCTTATTACAAGCATGCCAATAAATAAACATTAAAGCATGCATAAATAGTTCGTAAAACCTGAGAAAGATATAAATATTCGAACCAATGAAACAAAAATAGGGTACCTTCTTCCCTTTCCTTGTTTCATAAATACGAAATTATCGCATTCATGTACATATATCTTGAATAAGTTATTAAACTACATGTAAATAGTGTATTAAATACCGCAGTGTTAGTAAATATATACTATATATATATATATATATATCTGATATATAAATTTACCGACTTCTTTATTTTCTTTAAAGTCAATTTCTTTTCACTACGAACCGATCAAAATAATAGTCAATAATAGTTCATATATAAAAAAAAATGTCTTATAAGCTATTATCTGTTTTCTCTCAAGAAATTATAAACTTATTAACTGATAGTGATGAATATAATGTAATAATTCATGTTGGAAAGGGTGAAAACGTAAAAACGTTTCATGCTCATTCGTTAATATTAAGGGCTAGATGTAGTTACTATAAAACTGCACTGTCTAAACAATGGGCCAGGAAAGAAGGTGATTCCAATGTCCTAAGGCAACCTAATGTTACTCCAAAGGTTTTTGAAATCATTCTAAAGTAAGTTTTAATTCCCTTAAACTTCTTTTGTATCCTTTGATCAAGAAAATTCTTAACAAAATTATATATTAAACATACTCTTATTTTAAAGCTATATATATAGTGGAACTATTACATTGAATGATAGGGATATAATGGAAGTATTAGAAATATTAGCTGCTGCTGATGAATTATTACTCACAGATCTATTGGATTTCATTCAAGATCATTTAATAGAAACAAAATCGGAATGGTTACAATCTTATATCTTAAAAGTCTACCAGGCAACATTATCACATGATTCTTGTTCTAATCTACAGGAATTCATATTAGCTACTATTTCTTCTGATCCTGAATTATTATTTAAATCTCCAAATTTTTTAACAATCGACGAATCTTTATTATTACCAATACTTAAACGTGATGATTTAGACATGGCTGAGGATGAAGTTTGGGATCAAGTTATAAAATGGGGAATTGCTCAAATTAGTTCTAATTTACAATTTACTAATACTCGTGATTGGACTTCTGAAGAATTTTCTGCCTTAGCTTCGGCTCTTTCTGAATGTTTACCTTTAATTAGATTTTTTCAAATGTCTGGTAGTGATCTCTACGATAAAGTTTGGCAATTTAGAGCAATTTTACCTCCTGAATTAGAAGATGATATTGTTAGATGTCATTTGAAACCTGGTAGTAAACCTACTTTCGGTACAAATTCTCCAAGGGGTAATTCGGTTTTAATAGCTCATCAACAAATGTCAAAAATTGCTGATTGGATTGATAAGAATGATACTACTTCTACTTATATCGGTGGTGATATTCC